ACCTGGATTCCAGAACTTCAGAAAATAAATTTCCATAAATTACGAAGAAACGAACGTGTTCGTTGTTCGTTGTTCGTACGAACATATGAACGAACAATCCGAACAATTAATTTTCTACGAACGAACGAACGAACAAAATATACATTGAAAACGAACTAACGGTTCGTCGTCCTAGCGCAGTGTAGTATTTTAGTACTGGTGGCGCCATCACATTTACAGTACTTTTGGCAACACTGTTATTAGTGTTTTGACATTTCATGAAATGTGACATTAATGTTTGTTGATATGAACCGTGTTTGAGTTTTTGAAATTCTAATTTATTATTGTGAGTTTTTATATGTATTTTATTATTATGATAAAATAACAGTGAAAAATTTGTGTGAAAACATATGTAAGTGTTGAAAATTTCAAAAAGACAAGTGTAAATTTCTTGAATTGAATTGGTAAAATTTCTTATTATTTACAAGGTGCGTTGTTCTTTAAGGAGTCAGTCAAAAATATATTTCTTTTTTATTATTTCATTAAGCGTCATTAAGTTCAATATTTTTAAAATATATTATTGAGTTTTCCTCAGAATTATTGAAAGTTAGTTATCCGTTCTGTCGATTACGGTCGAGTAAATACACTTGTGCCACCGCTAGCACATTTTTGTTCCAGCCGTAACACATTTACACACTCACATTGCACCGCTCAGAGATACTCATAACAAACACATGTAGTAAAAAGAAATATATTTTTGGCTGACTCCTTAAAGAAAAACGCACCTTGTAAATAATAAGAAATTTTACCAATTCAATTCAAGAAATTTAAACTAATTTTTTTTTAATTTTCAATACTTACATATGTTTTCACACATTTTTTTCACTGTTATTTTATCATAATAATAAAATATATATCAAACTCACAATAATAAATTAGAATTTCATTACTTTATTTCAAAAACTCAAACACGGTTCAAATGAACGAACATTAATGTCACATTTCATGAAATGTCAAAACACTACGAACAGTGTTGCCAAAAGTTCTGTAAATGTGATGGGCACGTAGTTCCATTACGCGCCCTCCACTGCACCGCTACGAAATTGGCCAGGTGGTATGTTTGTATGACTGCATTTTTCTTCGTACCTTCTTTTAAATTGTGTGAAATTATTATTTTTCGAAAGTAGACTGAAAACTGAGCAAACTACTTTTTCAGTTTCAAAAAATTCGTTGCGTAAGTGGTTTTGGTCTGGGGTCGAACATTTTTGGGAGGCTCTTTTTGAGTTTTTCATCAATCGGACATTTTTCTGGTAAGGTACAACAATGATTTATACGTCGTTGGAAAGATTAAAGACTCACCTTTCTGGATCCGAAGTCAGAATAGAAAAAAATTTCAAAAATGTCCACCAGGTAGCGTGTTATGTGACATTTTCAGCGAAAAATGACCATGACTTTTTTCACGTAATCCCAATTTAAAAAAAATTGCGTAAATAGAAAAAATCAAAAAACTAGGCGTTTGTTGGGGACCAAATATGTGATGATTTGGCGTATGTGTCATATCTGGGAAAATTCGTTTTTAAAAAAAAAATCATTCTGAAGTTGAAATTTTTTTTCGGCAATTTTTCAATTTTTGGTCATTTCTGATCACAGGTATACGGGGTGTTTTTTTAACAGAATCACGCCATTCTTAGCTTATTATTAAGGAAAGACATTAAGGTCATCTTGATAAAGCAACAAAGACATTTTGAAATTTAATATCTTAGTAATCAACTGCAATGTACTAGGTTTTTACTTTGTTTGTTCACGTTGACAACTGATTTTACATAATTCGGACCCGAGGAATTCAATGGTGGCAACCGTTTTGAGAAACTAGTTCATTTTTTTTAGATTTTCCGGCTTGAAACCTTTCTTTTGGAATAAATTGGTTCTTCATTCGATTGCTATGAAAATTGGTATTTGTGAGTTTTTTGGTACCAGAAAACCGAATATGACATTTATTTTGCGGTAGAATTCATTCATGGAACATTTCCTATACAAAAATCTTCATCTTTTGCCATTTTGAAGATATTGACGGTAACCAAAATACTATCAAAACTATTGATATAAGTAAAAAACACTTCTTTCGAAGTTCCCAGTGTGACGCAATATTATAAATCTGAAAATGAACGCTCCAGAATAAAAACAACGTACAGAATGGTTGTTATATCAAAGCGGAACACGGCGTTTTTTAACACACTATAGATTTGTTGTTGTAATATAACAACAATTCTATATAAAAAAAAACGCCGTGTTTCGCTTTGATATAACAACAATCCAGTACATTGTTTTTTTTCTAGAGCGTTCAAATGTTCTGATATAAATTTTCAGTGACGCGTTCACTCAAATATGTACAGAATTTTATTATTGCGTCGCCTCTAAAATGCAAACACAAAATGATTTGGATGTCTAAAAGTTATGTTTCACTTTGAACAAAAAACCTGCAGTTTTTTTACAATTAATTTCAATTTTAATTTATTGTTATAAGTCCATAAAAAATACCAAGCCGCTGCAAGTGTATACAATTTTAAAGAGACCGGTTTAGTATATTTTTCAAAGGGTGTACGTTCCCATATTTTTTTGCGGCAAAAGAGGCGACGCAACAATAACATTTTGTACATATTTGAGTGATCGCATCACTGAAAATTTATATCAGAACATTTTCAGATTTATAATATTGCGTCACACTGGGAACTTCGAAAGAAGTGTTTTTTACTTATAAACTACATCTACGATAGATAGTGTACGGTGTTGGCACTTCATCTGTCAAAAAAAAGTCTAAAGTGATCATCTTGGGCTACTGGTCATCTTGAGCTCCTCTGCCCTGATGAAGCAGTTGATAAAATTTATTGAACAAATAGTCTATTTTGAAAAACATGCCGCTTAGATCTCAAAAATGATAAATCTAATTTATTGTTGGTTGATTTTATATTAAATCTGCCAAACTTGAATCAAATATACCGCATTTTTTCTCTCTGTGTACTATTTCTATTACGCCTTTCGACTAACCATTTCTTATAGAATAATTGAAAAAACGGTGCTTATATTATCAATATGTTGAAATGTAAGGAAAATAAATTTAAATTTAAACATTGAATCAAACCAATCAATTTTTTGCTACTATAATTCGATCATTTTCAATTTAAACATATTCAAGAATCAATCATATATTAGACATTTCAAGAATCAATCATATGATTGCTATAGAATAAAAACAGCGTATGAAAAGGTTGCATTTCAAAGCGAAACACCGTCATACAAAATACAGCAAAAAATGTATGTAAAAACAACCTATGGTGTGCGACCGTATCATACGCTGTATTTATTCTAGAGAATTCATATGATTATGTTTTCAATCATGAATTGAGTTTTGAGCTTGAATATTGAAGTATGTAGTTTATTGATGAGATGATAGTCGATTGGCAAATTTATTTTATTCCATGAACCAAATTACAACGACAGCATATAGAAAGTTTATGTCTACGAACAATTCTTAGTAATTATTTATTGCATCTCTTTTATGAATATTTCCATTATATTATTTATATTAAAATGGCTTAGATCGTTGGGTTGACCGATATCGAAAAAAAATGTTTACGAATTGGGCCTGTTTCAACATTTGAATTGTTGTGTTTGAAATTAGTAGCAACATGCAAAAAACTTCGATGAGGTTTAGATGTATTGTAATCAAATGTCATATTGTCAAATCGCTTTGTTGGCATGATATATATACATCCAGTTGCGTTGTTTATTTTGCTTTTGTTTTGTACTGTTGTTGTTGCTGTTGTTGATATTTTTGTTCAATCGCATGCTTTTGTGCTGTTTTAATGGGCTTGTGTGAGTCTACACAACACACGATATATTATATATTTGCATGACTGAAGCCCGACGATGCGTTGTCGCTGATCGTACGAGAGATCGTACGATTTTTATAGTTTGTTTCGATTGGATATTACCAACGCTGTACTTTCTCGTGTAACATTTTTTCTTCTGTTATTCTTTTTGTTCTATTTCATTCTATTTGTGTCGTTGCTTAATTTGGTTACCTATAGTAACAAAAACGTCTTATTATTTATTTTACGTTTGAAGTTTCAAATTTTTATATAGATCGAAGGTATCCTTATTAGGCAAACACGTAAATTTCAAAATTAAACATGCACTTAAGCACATTGGATTGAAATACAATATCTGTCTACAATGAAAAAAGGTCCAACCGTTTATGTGTTAGAAATGATATTGAATCGATTTTTTTTGTTTTCAATAAAGAATAATCAATAATTGTTTCATTTTTGTCTTTTGTCTCTGTAGTGGCTCATTGGCTTTATGGCAAATGTCGTATCGTGAAACGTTTCTTCAAATGATTTACATGTATGATGGTGAAATAATGGATTGTGATTTTTTGACGGGCCAAAAATACAATGAAGAATTTGTGCAAAATTTCTACAACGAAATCCAGGATATGAAAAAACATAATAAAATCATCGGTCTAAAAGAGGAATTATATCATATGCCAAAGTTTCGACGTTATACACACCACAATATTCCAGAAATAAGTATGTCGATGGATGGTGATGATGAAATAATTGGAGCGAGGAATCTCACCTATCACCCATTATTCAATCAAAATGATTTACCAAAGGATTTACTACGAGTGATAAATTTTGACCGCATGAAATTGGAATGCGAGGCATACCATCAGAATGTGATGCGACATGTCCGCGATCTGAACAGCGAGAATGCCGATGTTGTTCAAAACGCCACCGAACATTTGAGCAGGTATTTTTTACAATTTTTATCTTATCTAACAAAACTGATCACCTTGAAATAATTTACATCATTTGCTCATATAATGAAAACAATGACACAACACAATTCAATTCATTGAAATACACAAAATCATATTTACCGAAGCTACATCAAACATATATATGAACATATGTGTGAAGCAAGCACTTTTATAGTTAGAAAGAAAACTTAAATTTTTCAGTCAATCCAAATAAGCTTGGAAAATTGCACGTTCATTCTACCATTTAAATCTTTTAAACGTTCTTTAAGGAGTAAATATTAATTTATCCATTTCGATGTAGACTTGAAATATTATGTATGTTTTGTTTTACATTGTATATGCGTTCAAAATACATTCAACAGTTCGTGCGATTATTTAACAAATTTTTATATGTTCGAAATCAAATTTCATATTGCAAGAGTTGTTCATCTATAATTGAAACAAATGTGCTCACCATTTTTTAATTATTTTTCTTGATTCAGTTCTGTTTATCTTTTATTTTCGTTCTAATTTTATTTTTAAAATAATTTAATTTTTCAATTAAATTTTTCGTTTATTTATTTATTTTTTGTAATCTTTTATGATTTTTAGGAAAAAGCGAACATTATCTGATTGGTTAATTGCACCAAATACAAAATGGTGTGGCCGTGGTCAGACAGCTGAAAAGTATAGTCAATTGGGTGGTGCATCAAAGGCTGACAAGTGTTGTCGACGACATGATCACTGCAAATTCAATATTTATGCCATGACCACAAAATGGCGTTTATTCAATTATCGACCATTTACAATTAGTCATTGTAGCTGTGATATGAGGTCAGTAACATTCAATATTTCATTCAAGATCAGACAATAAAAAACATTGAAAAAAAAAACATTCGTATATAAAATAAAATTGATAAAGGAGTTGACTAAAATGAGCATTTTTTTAGAACACACAATGTGATTTTGTGCTAATTCGTACTAAATACGCAACTCCTTTCAAAACAATCAATTGGTACTGAAATTGGAATTGATATACAATAACAATATTTTAAAACGAATTTTATTATCTTAAGATCGTTGACCTAAGCCTGAATATTCAGGTACAGATATATACGTGAGTTAGTAGGTACAAATCCACTTTTTATTTTTGCAAGTAAAGAAAAGATCGGCTTCGGTAATATGATTTTGTGTGTTCGAATATGTTTGGTAAGTGAATAGAAACCAAACAAAGGTTCTTCAAATTGCAGACGTCGTCGAGATTTAACAAATTTTCTACGGGTGCCCGGAACCAAATGGTGTGGAAAAGGATATTCGGCAAAGAAATATGCTGAATTAGGTGGACGTTCGAAGGCCGATCGATGTTGTCGGCAGCATGATAAATCATGCCCATTCTGGATAATGGGCTTCGAAACAAAATATGGTTTGTTCAACTGGCGTATTAATACGCTTATGCATTGCAAATGTGATGAAAGGTACTAGTCTGAGAAAAAAATTGTATGGTTTTCTAGAAAATCTTGTGGTGTGAATAAATTTTCCAAGATGAAGAAGTATTTTTCAACACAAATGAAATGTCGTGTTTTAATTTGTGTCTTTGAAATAAAATTAAATTTATTCTCACCACATAACTTTCAAATAATCAACTCTACATAATATTTTATCCTTCCAAATTCAACGGTTATACATTACTTCACTGTGAAAAGGAAATATAGTTCTTGTTTTGCCTCTCTGTTAAATTTTAGTTCTAAAATTTGGTTGTGATAAAAGTTTATTTGATTTGTCAACCATCAATTTCAAAGTAAAATGAAACGGATTTCATTTCAAAGTTTAAGCAAAATAGCGGTTCTTCCTTTTAACACAAATATTTACTTTCAATTGACTTAATGTTCTTGCATGCATCCTTTCTTGAAAAACCTCACATGTGATTCAGATTATCCAATCAAAATAAAAATCAAGAAAAATACCATTATTCCGCACGAGTTAAAAATGCGTTGGTAAAGAACAAAGGATTTGTATTAAGCGTGTGCTAATGCATTTGGATTTGTGAAAAACTAAACACACATTTTGAGTGGTCGAAGTGAATGTGAACGAAAATTCTTTAATCCGTAAATCATTTTATTCAATCCTGATTCCGCAATACTGCAATCGCATTCAGAATTTCATTTATTCAAAATTCTTCTTCATGTACAATAGTAATAATAGTGATTCTTCTCGGATTTATTCAAGCGAAAAGATTCCATTTTTTTGATTATTTTTCTGAAACATTTTTAAAATTATGCTGAAACAACGAAATACCAAAAATCACTTTCAAAATACACTGTATTAAGAATAAATAAGGGTGGAATGAACGGACATTTGAAGGAAAAATGGATTTGTTCTCGCACAATAGCATTTATAGATATGTGATTAGTATAAATTGGTTAAGCTTCGGACATTTTCTTATTATTTTTTGTTTGGATTCGTATGTGCGTTATCAGTCCAAATTTATCAAGAAAGTTGAAAATGATTTATAGTTAATGAGCCGCATTTGTCTATGAAAGCAAGGAACATAAGCATATTGAGCGTGTATGGACCGAATTAATATTCGTTGTATGTTTGTTATTTTTCACGATTTAAAAAAATTCCTCACAAGAGTGTCAATAATGGATCGGAATAAGTACATCGTTAAATAGTCAAGGAATTTATGGTGTAAATTGTTTTATTAAATTGTACGTTTCAGATGTCTTAAGAAACCCACTTCAATAATCTTTTAGTAACATCTAAATGAATTCTATCACACCAATCGGAAAATGAACACAATATTGTGAATTGATTGTCTGTGATTTCAGTGAAACGTATTTTTTTATTGAATTGACTAGAAGAATTGCTTTTGAATAAGAACAAAATTGATTTTTCTAATTAAAAAAACGCAATGTTCAACAAATAATGTTTGTAATTAAAAACAAATGATTAAAGCATAAATGAACTGTGCATTCTGGATAAATGGCGTGTGTGTTGTTATTAGCGTTAATCGTTTGATGTGCCAAGGGACGATTAACGTCATTCATGTTATTCTGCGTATTATGGCGTATATATAAAATACAAATAAATACATTTTCTCCTCTCACTAATGAATGAGAGATGCATTCAACTGAGCGAGACATTTGCTTTTTACAAAATAAAGACGGAACAGATTTCAGTGTTTTTTTTTAATTTTGATAATGATTCAAACATTTTATAGTTAATCATTTTTTGATGATGTAAAACAATCACTTAATAGTTTTTGATGAGAACAAAAAAAATCGTTTCTTTTACAGACATGGGTTAAATTCAAATATCAATGTACTGTAAGTGTGTAAAAATACTGTATGATCATGACGAATATCATCGGATATTAAATGTGTGCAACGTTGATTGTTTCTATTTTTCGTCTTATATATCTCTTTCATAAACAGGGAAAATGAAAATATACGACAAGAAAGTTTTATATGACAAAGGCAAAATAAAAATAGATTTCATATGGTTAAGAAATATTGTATACATGCGACTTAATAGAAGTCACCAAGGGTTGTAAAAATATTGTTCAGTGTCGCACAGAAAAGCGAGTCTATTCAATAGAAATGAATTTTTGCGAATTATTGTTCATTCAATATGCTTTATCTTTACGCATCGTTGCGCACACCATTCCGATTTTAATGTGTATTCGAAAGTGAAAGTACAAATAGCAACAGTATTATTCTACGGCAAATAGTACAATAACTTGTGAAAAGAATAAAACCTTTTCCCTCTCTTGGTGTGGCACTGTTCTTATTAATGGGCCAACACTTCTTTAGTCATTTTTTTGTCTTTTTACTTCACTTTCGTTTCTTAGTTTATAAATAACCGGGCAGCCAAATCTACTGTCAAATGTACATAATATTCACAACACTGGCCAATTGTACCCGTTGAACGTTTAGTTCTTTATGCTTTTTTTAGTTCTTGTTCACCGCTTCCATTATATGTATAGTATAGATCAGTCTAGATCTAATATCTTAGCACAATGTATTCACTGGTCTAGATTTTATTTTCAGCGGATTACTGAACAACTTATTCAGATAATATAAGTGTTGGAGTACTTACTTTGTTGAACTAAATGACTTCCTTTTTCAATGTCAATTTTAACCACTTACACCTTTTGCTTGAAAGTTCAGGGCCAAATTTCACCAAAAAGTTTAGTTGTGAACTTCTCTCAGTGCATTTTATTGGGAACGTCAATTGAATTTTGAGATCTTCCTTCAAAATTTTGTTGTTCAAACAAATTGACGAAAAATAATATAAGACTTTTTTCTAAAAAAAAATATTATTTTTCTAATACGTTTTTTTTGAACATTCCAACATTTATTTAACATTTTTAATTGAAATAAATTGTGAGAAAATCTTACGTGAAAGTTTTTTGTGAATTGGTGCCATAAATAATATGTATTTTTTTTTATTTTTTAAATGTTTTAATGAAAATGCTTTTTACTCGTGTTGTTCTTGTTTTAAATTCAATTTTAACATAAAATTTATACTTAATCAAGCTAACATTTTTCTATTTAGGTTCCGAACATGTTTGAAAATGGCTGATTCTCCGGATGCCACAATGGTTGGAAAGCTATTCTTCAACATTGTACAAACGAAGTGTTTCGTCTTAAAGCCGGAAAAGTATTGTAAATCTCATTCATGGTGGGGTGCCTGTGAGAGTGAGAGCGTTCGAAAACGTGCCCATTTGCGGAACAATAAAAAATTCTAGACGGAATAGTATTTTAGAAAATTATTATGCACCAGAAATAATTTGACCTCGTGGAACTGTTTACTGTTCACCCAATCAGAACTCAATATGTTTTTGAGTGTTTTTTTATTATTGCATTTCATACATCATTGACCAGTGACCACACTTATCAAATGTGATGAGACCGGCTATATAGTTTTAAAACAAAAAGGCCTGACCTAATCAATATTTCAAAATAAATGTTCCAGACTTTCATTTTTTACTAAATATATTGCAATGACACACAGCGTTCCGAAGGGGAAATGAAGTGTGTAGCACACGTATCTCGGCTCACGCATACCTTCAAAGCTATCAAATATTTTTATTCTATAGAAATATTTATTGCTATATATTTAGCAAAAAATTAAAGTCTGAAATGTTCAATATCATCAATGGCATAATTACTTGGCCTATTTATTTGTTAAATAAAATAAAATGTGAAAACGATTAATTTTAGTTTCTCATTAGATATCAGTAGTATTGCAAAAGAAAAGAAATTGTTTTATTTTTTTCCTTCTGTTCTTCTTGTTGAAAACAAACTTTACTACAAATTGTGAGTAAAATATAAAGAATAGAAAAATATAAGTTGTTTCAAATTACCAAAGAAGATTAATTAGAATCGAGAATAATAGATTAAAAATGCACATAGTAATTTCATTTGTCTTCTAATAAACGAAAGAAATTCTCACAAAGGAGAATACACAAAAACAATATTTTGAACAAATTGAATTTTATACGCATTACCAACTCGATCCAAATTCTATATGGTATGTGTGTATTCAATTTGGGAATGACTCGGTAATTATAATTCAGCGATGATAACATTTGATCAATCCATATCTATATGTCTATCTCTATATTCTTTCGACTCTACTCTGGAACATTACGATCTTCGTCGCACGTTTTACATCCAATTCAGTGATGAGATTTTCTTGTCGATTCAAATTCAGTTCGTAGCGCTTTAGCGTGAAAAATTTCTTGATGCGACTGAATGCCCATACTCTGATGTTATTTTTCACGTTTGTTATGTACTGAGTGATGAGATGATTGAATGCGTTCCCCATGCCCTCGCGAGATGGCCAATTTTCTGGACGAAGAAAATCAGGACATGCTTGCTCCACAGTTCGTCGAAATGCAAGCGGTAATTTGTGGTAATTTTCTTGTAATACCGAGGTGAAACATTCACCAATTACACCATTCACGTATTTATTGAATTCATCATTCGTGTATTCATCGGATTCACCTTTAAAAAATCGAACATTTTCATCGTCAAAGGCTTTGTTTGCTTTGAACAAAAACAGTAATGACGCCAGAGTCGTAATCATTGTGGCCGAAAGGCACCAGTATGTGACCTGATCGATGAATGGTGCACGATACTCTTCTCGCAGCACTTGATTTAGAGTCATCTTCAACGATGTACTGCGCTCATTCTTGGCTCTCTTTCTTCTCATCGTGACAGATCTATTGTACAAAAATTAAAGAAAAAATACACCAAATATAGCATAGATCACAAACACAATAAGATACAAACACTTCTATCACAAATTAAATGAAACAGTAATGAAGAACGCATTATAAATATCACCTCTTACCTCAACAAAGTGACTCTGTATTCTAAATCGAATGATGAAATTTATTTCCAATGTCACATCAAATATTTTGCCGATCGAAATGTTGTTGGAATATTCACAGTTAATTTTATCAACACTCTGTTATTTCGAAATTAAAACAAAGAAAGTCACAAAACCAACTGTGAATATATCCATTCCACAGGGAACAGCATTCCAAACACATAAAATCGTTTTTGAAATGACAATAAAACCAATTGATCGCCCAAACCACGCTTCAAACACTCTCATATAATTCTCAAGAAATCGTATTGAAAACAAAACAAAGTTTTATTGTAAACAAAATCGGTTGGTGCGATAGTTGTTTATACTAACAATACTGTCCCACAATGTGGGCACATTTTTAATATATATAAATGAATATCTTTGGATTTGGTTTGACACATATACACCGCGCCAATCGAAAAATGTCAGAAAGATGTCAGTTACATTCCGAAAATTCAAAATATTAATTCCACAAATAAAGAAAATTAAATGCAATAAATGACGTATAAAAGAGTTCTTCTGCAGAGTTTTAAATTAAGTTACGCAAATATCTTTCCGAATAAATTGTTTATTTTTTTATTTGAGCGTAAGATTTAGATTTTCAATTTAAAACTTCTTAAATGGGTTGTGTTCACATTATGTTGTCAAATGAAATATTATTGGAAGTGAAAGAAACAAGTGGATCCATTCCATTGGAATTCGTGGAAACTATGCATATAATCTCCGTTCCATTTGACACGAAAATGACCACCAGAATGGGCCAAAACTTTACATTTTTCAACGTTCGAATGTACTAAAAACATTACAAATTTGTTTGCTGGGTGATAATGTTATATTTTGAAACAACTTTATTGGAGAAAATAATTTTTTATACGATAAAATTGAGGGAACATCTATCATTTTAAAGATTTATTTGTCTCGTGCTAAATGAGTCGCCATCTGTTCTCAATTTAATGTCTGTGTGTTTGTAGTTGTATTTGAGTATCGCAAGGAATAATTTTTAATGCAAAACAATCCAATGGTTATGTTACGGTCAACATTGGGCCGGATTTTTGATACTAATTGGTATTCTACAGTTTGGTCATAAACTCAATGGGCCACACACTGTGGTCAACAAATGGTCTCGATTGTCCGCACCATCTCTTAATATATCCTCGAATTTTATTTTGCATTGAAGCAAAGAAGATAAAAACTAACAACAGTAATATTAGATATATAGAGTTGCTGGCTCTATGAGACGAATGAAAGAACAAAAAATGTTCAAGACCTTAAATGTTTGTGTATTTGATATTTGAGAAATGATTTATTATTTTAAAACAAATGCAAAAACAAGCAAAATTCACCATAAAATAGAATTATGAAATGAAAGAGAACAGTTCAACTACATAAAATAATAACACTTTTATAAATTCCATGTAAATAAACTACCTTAATCTTTTTCTAAACTAATTATCTGTTTCTTTTTTAAATGTATCGTTAGATTTAAATTACAAATCTTAACCTCGCCCGAGCCGACATCTATGTTCAATTTTCAATAGTCAATTTACTGTATTTGTATTTGTAATTGTATTTGAGTAATTTCGTGTGCATGAACACCTTCCGTCATTTAGTATTGCCCGATGATTTTCACTCTATGTTGTATGTACAAAAACACACAACACATGCAACAGAATACTTTGTAGATGAAATGCCTTTGAATACATCGCCATTGTATGTTTCTTTCTTTCTGTTTCAACTACTCGAAGGAATCGGACGCAAAGTAGGAAAATATTAGAATCTGAATGTTTTTTTTTTGCTTTGCATTTTTGATTCATTCTTTTTTATTTTATTTTTCCATCAAGATAACTAAACTTTTTGGTAGATTAACTACAGAGAGTCTGTGTATTTCAACATTAAATTTGGGAACAGAAGTTGTACGACTCATCAAAGGTAAATATATTTTGGACTTTATTTTTTCTTTCATTTTCGTTGTGTGAACAAGACAGTTAGTCAAATTGAAAACCGTATATTTATTGAAATAATTCCA